AGCAAGAACAAAATTAAATTGTGAAAAACCCCTTATCGTTTTGAGATTTCCTTTAAAAAGCGAAACTGAAGCGAGAAAACTGAACGAAACTTTTAAAATATTTAAATCAGACTTCTTTCATTAGTTGCCAAATATGATTCAATATAAAATTAATTTTAAAAAATTACGTTTTTTTTTTTTTTTTTTTTTTTTTTTTTTTTTTTTTTTTTTTTTTTTTGCACTTACACAGTTTTTATTTTTCTTTCTCAAATTTCATAATATAATTTTGTAATTATTCTTAAATTGCCCCAAACTTAAAGTTTTGTCAAAAAAAAAGTTAGACAAAATAATTGGTTTTTAAAAAAAATGTCCAAATCTGCAAAATATTTAAGCAAAGTTTGGGAAATTGAATGAAGCTATTGCAAATAACAACCAAAGTAATTGATACAATTTTCACGCTTATCGCTTGATTTTCTGGCATCAAGTGTTGAAAAATACTTGTTTTCATTCATAATTTATTGTTTCTTTCTCAAACTTCTAAAAGCTTTAAACCGTACCGCTAAGTATGAGAAATTGCATGAACTAAACACCTCTTAAGTTATCAAATAATACTTTAGAGTATTTCTTGAGATATTCAAAAACTGAAAGTGTTTCTACCATTATTTTAGAATAGTGTAATAACTTAATTACTTAAAACCTTCATATTTTGTAAAACAAATTATAGTTTTTCTTATAACAATCTTAAAATATCAAAGTGCATAACTTTAATTTTATGAAAATAGATATTTAAAAAATATATTAATGGAATACCTAGTGTGAATTCAGGTAATGCTAATCTCGAGCATTTAATGTTATAAAGAATCGGCTTTGTTCTTCCGATTGGACGAACTAATCCTTTACTAGCTAATTCATATGCTTCTTGGCTTTGTATATCAACTCCAGAATAGCTATAAAAAAGTTTGAAATAAAGGATAACATAATTTATATGTATTTTTAATTCATTAAGCTATGCTAGCATTAAATGTAAATAATTCTGTGGGTGACATTTTTCAGACAATAAAAATGCTTTATCAACTAATAAACAAATATAATGTAAACATGAATAATACAACATGTCCATTCCTGTACCTTTATTTTTGCTTTAATTATGTTGTTTTTGTTTTATTCATATATAGTACCAAATATACCTTTATACTCATTTGGATAATGTAAACATGATCATAATTATTTTTAAAAGGTTTGAAAATTTTAATTGGCTTCATTTTGTAATCTAATTAATTTAAGGAAAATTTTAGCTTTCATATTTATTTCTAGAACATATTTATCTCTAGAACATATTATATAAGACATATTTATCTCTAGAAAAGTTTAACCGTCACAAATATTCCAAACTTTCATTTGCAAAAGTAATTGAAATAGTAATTTTAATTACTTAATTATCAGTTTGTTTTTCAAAAGAATTGTACTTGGGGGTAAAAATAATGTAAGTAAGAAAATTCCATGAAATGTTATTTTGACTTAATATAAGTCACTGTCTCCATAAAATTGCATAAGTAGAATATGTAACAAATTTTTTTTAAAACAAATTAGATTCATATTCAAATCAAAAATTTTAATCTTTCTACAATTTCTAAACAATTTTCAGTTATTTATAAATAAATCTTGAAGTTATAAAAATATTCTAGAAATTTAAATAAAATACTATATTTTATTAATTAAATTTACCGATAAGCTAAAGCTTGATGAGTAAACTGTATGGATGACAATAATCGATCAATGCCTCCTTGACGTATGTGAGCTAGAATAAAAGAAAAAATTACTTCGTTCAAAATTTGTAAAATATTATGAATTTTAATAAATAATTTTTTTGATGTATTATACGGAGTTATTGAATAACCATATTTCAAATATTAATATTTTCATAACTATTACACGTTTCATAATAAGTGATATACAACATAATTAATACATTAAAAAATTAATAAGTTTTCTTTACGGCTAGGTTAATTGTTCTAAATGATGCACAAATGCATACTTTAAGTCCTTATAGTATTTTTAGTGGATCAAAAATATTTTGTCTGACATAAAACTTTCTGTTCCCATAAAAAGAAATCACATGAGGTGAGGTGTGTTAATCTTTGTGGCCACATGTTTGACCTTTTACTTACTGTTGGTACAATAACCAGAATGACAGGTTTCACCATGTTAAACACTACAAGCAAAGGGCTGTGAGTGAATCAATAAGTGTTGATACATAGTTTTAAATGGTTTAAAAAATAAATAAATAATGTATTTAAATATGTAATGCTATAAAAATCAAAAATTATCACTTACAATACGTTGACCTTTCAACAATTTTTCCATCATCCATAAAATTTCGTGAACACAAACCAAATTTTCCTTTCACTTCATATTTACGAAGAAATGTACTTGAACCAATGTTTTCAATTTTCTTGCAAGCTCCATTAACAGCAAACACTATAATTATTTAAATTAAAAACAAATATGTTAATTTTGTTAAATATCTTATAACTGATTTTGTATAAATAATAGCATTTACTAGATGCAACTTTCTGCCTGAGCGAATGCCATATGGTTAAATAGAAATTTCAATCATGGTTAAGTAGAATGCCATTGAATAAAAATTCAGCTGTATCATAAAGCCTTACTAATATGATTTTGATTGGATTAGCAGCTTAAGCAGATGATAGATATGTTGATAAGAATTTAATAAGTTAATGATCAATAGCCAATAAGGCCTCAGTGGTAAATTTACGTTTTTTGTTGTTTTTTTTAAATCAAAATTCTTTCAAATTCTAATGTGTCTAGCATACTTTGTTTTATTAAATTTGATGCTAATTCTTTGGTTAGTAATCATAATTCTACACTGTCCCTGTATAGAAAAATATTTCATACATTTTCCAATGGAAAAATATTTTAGTCAAAATTACTATTTTGAACTATTGTCATTTGTTTCCTTTTCAAATATTTCAATTTTTAAAGTTTAGAACATTTTTTAATTTGTTATAGACATAAAATTTTTGTATCATAAATCTTAGTATTTTGACAGTGAATTATAAACTTGTTATAATAGCGAACTTTTCATAATATACCATACTTGTTGCATAAAGTTGTTTGCACAATTGAAACATGGTTGTTACATTTCACTATTTTAATGAAGTATTTAGAATTTTTATAAATAAAATTCATTTTACTTTACTTCAGTTTTGAGGAAGATTTTGTTTGCAATTATTTTTTTTATAATAAACATAACAAACAAAGGCTAAAATAAATTTTCATTATTAAAACACATAATTTTACAAATTTAATTTTTTACACTACATAATAGCAATGTGTTCCTGTAGAACCAGGAAATGAAAAGGCTAACTAAAGCAAAGAAAAGAAAAACAATCATCCTAAAGCACTTCAAGCCTTTGTCTTTTCACTCAATTAAATTACTAATTAAAAGAAATTTTATAAATTCAAAATGAATGATTTTGCACATGCTCAAGACAATTTGGAATGGAGCATGCTCAACAAGAATGGAGTATACTCTTTCATGTAAATATTCTGGTCCCAGACCTTCTACTGACTTTAGACTTTTACTAGACATAATTGCTTGTCTTCTACTTGTTTTGCTTTAAATTTATGGACTTTTCCTTACGTTGTTTATATGGCTCTAGACATGTTTTCATGGCTGATCACATGGACAAGTGTAAAGCACTCATATTTTAATGATCTGCCTCAAAAGTATGGAAGAGCTCGAAAAGAACATAGAAATATATTCACAATTAGTTACAATTGCAATGATAATTATTAAATGCTTCAACAAAAAAACAAAGGTTTAATACTTTTAAAAACTAAGGTTAGCACAGTATTCAACTTAATTATTTTATTTCTTATAATACAACTATAACATTGGGAGTACAAATTAGTTTGGTCCGTTTTCAAAAGATGGCTCTGGCTGTTATGAATGTTTCACAGTGACAGCTGATTTTGGTGGTTTCAGAGAGGTTAGAGATCTGACAATAATATTCAGTTTATATCGCTTAGAGTTTCATAGAAAAACCTTGTTTTTTACTTTGTTGAATATATCAAATTTTGTGGTAACTAAGCAGCATGGAAGGTTTTATGTTTCTGCTTTAATTGGAAGAAAAGCGCAGCTGAAGCCTATTGAATGCTAGTAGAAGTTTATGGAGACAATGCTCCAACTGATTAAACATATAGGGAATGGTTTCAAGAATGGCGTTGTATACTANAACAGAATTACCGTTGTGTTACGCGTCGTTAGTAGTTTTGCATTTTTAATGAGAAGAAAAAAAAGGTCAGCTTTTTGAACGCAAGCAGAATTACCGCTGTGTTACGCGTCGCTAGTAGTTTTGCATTTTAATGAGAAGAACAAAAAGGTCAGCTTTTTGAAAGCAAACAGAATTACCGTTGTGTTACGCGTCGTTAGTGGTTTTGCATTTTAATGAGAAGAAAAAAAAAGTCAGCTTTTTGAACGCAAACAGAATTACCGTTGCGTTACGCGTCATTAGTAGTTTCGTATTTTAAAGGGAAGAAAAAACATTTAGGGAAAGCTTTTAGGGTGCAAACAAATTAATCATTGTGTTAAATGTTGATGTTTTATTTTTATTCAATTTCTTTTTTTTCACATTTTAATAAAAATAAATGATTTAATTATTTTTTTAGTATTAGGTATAGTTCAGATTTTTAAATGTTTGATTTAACATTAGAATGAATAGAGATTAAAACTTTTTAAAAGTGTGTAGCGTATAAGAATTTTTAATGTTTAAAGCAGGCATTTTCAAGATAAAGTTCAATTTTGAAATGGAAACAATTGACAATTTAATCCATTTCTATTCCAAAATTTTTCCTCTTTGCCCTGCATGTTTTTCAATCAAAATTTTAATAACTTGATTGAATGTACTGATATTTTAAACAACATACAATTTTAAGTTAATGGTTACAACTTAAAAAAAGAGGTGTTTACTAAACGACTTCATAAATTCAATTGCATCAAGTGTTTCACTTTCTGCCCCCCAATTTAAACTGAAGTTGTATAATATATTCATGCGCCAGTATTGTCTCCAGATCATCATTAAAAATTTCGTACTGTCACCAATAGCTCATTATTAGCGTAGCTCTAATGCGACGTTAACAGTCAAACCAAACATCAAGAGTGTTACTTTATACATATTTCAAGATATTTGTAATAGTTTTTTTTAGATAATCTGAATAAATTTAATATGCCTCTTAATGATTTTAAGAATGCTGGCAAAAACGCCATTATGATTGGAAAATCACTTTTAAAAATATTCTTAGATTCTTTTTTTCCCTTTACCATTGCGACATCGTATTCAACTATAACTTACCTATAAGATAAGCAAGTTTCATGATGATGTAAGAAATTCTATAAAATTTTAGTACAATGATATTTTAAGTCAGTTTAAATATGTAATTATAAACAAGAACTTGTCATAAATATAGTAAGTGAAATAATTTTCCACTTTATTTTTGAATCTTCGGACCAGCCATCTGCTAAATCATTGTTCTCCAAACTATTCTACTTTTCAACACAACTATAGCACTGTACAACTACAGTATAGCAGATCTATCGGCCATTTTCCAGACAGTTTAAGGAACCCTATAAAACATTTTTATTACTATAGCGTTTTTAATCATCTTAAATAATTATAAAAGTTAAGTGATAAATATGGTTGATGAAATAATTTTCCACTTTATTTTTAAGTCTTCGGATCAGCCATCTGCTAAATCATTGTTCCTCAAATTATTCTACTTTTCAACACAACTATAGCACTGTACAACTACAGTATAGCACATCTATCGGCCATTTTTCTGACAGTTTAAAGAATCCTATAAAACATTTTTATTACTATAGCGTTTTTAATCATCTTAAATAATTGTAAAAGTTAAGTGATAAATATGGTTGATGAAATAATTTTCCATTTTATTCTTAAGTCTTCGGATCAGCCATCTGCTAAATCATTGTTCTTCAAATTATTCTACTTTTCAACACAACTATAGCACTGTACAACTACAGTATAGCAGATCTATCAGAGATTTTCATGACGGTTTAAGGAATCCTATAAAACATTTTTATTACTATAGTGTCTTTAATCATCTTAAATAATTATAAAAGTTAAGTGATGAATATGGTTGATGAAATAATTTTCCACTTTATTTTTAAGTTCGAATCAGCCATCTGCTAAATCATTGTTCTTCAAATTATTCTACTTTTTAACACAACTACAGCACTGTACAACTACAGTATAGCAGATCTATCACCGATTTTCATGGCAGTTTAAGGAATCCTATAAAACATTTTTATTACTATAGTGTTTTTAATCATCTTAAATAATTATAAAAGTTGAATGTTAAATATGGTTAAGGAAATAATTTTCCTCTTTATTTTCGAATCATCAGTTCAGCCATCTGTTAAAACGTTGTTCTTCAAATTATTCCGCTCTTTAACACAACTATTGCAGTCATATCAGCAAATTTATAGAAAATGTAAGAAATCCTATGAAGTTTAATTACCATAATATTTTTTTAATCAGCTTAAACAATTACATAAATTATAAATGTGGTACCAGAAATAATCTTCAACTTTATTTTCAATCCTCAGTTAATCCATTTTTTTTTAAAGTATTGTTATTCAAATTATTTCCTCAGCTCAATTATAACAAATTTTTAAGCAAGTTTATAGATCCATAAAACATCCTATGAAATTCATTTATCATACATTATTTTAATCACTGCAAATTGAAATCTTTGAACAATGTATATAAAAATATAATATTTTTATGGTTTAGAAATTAACTTGGATCTGCTGTACTAAGTGTACAGATTAACATTTTTTTTAATGTTTCACGGATTTTACTATTCAGTTCATAGTTTAAATTCGGGATTTCGTACAACACTTGAAGTATGAGCCGCAATGGCTCAGGGGATAGAGCGTTCGCCTTCCAATGAGGTGAGCCGGGTTCGAATCCCAGCGATGGCTTTGAGATACGAATCAGCATCCGGCTTGCAGAGACCACAGTGCTGACGTGAAATATCTTTAGTGGTAGACGGATCATGGGTTAGAGTCCCTTTGCCGTCATTCTAACCGTGAGAGGTTTTCGTGGTCTTCCTCTCCATGTAATGCAAATCCGGGTTAGTTCCATCCAAAAGTTCTCCATGAAGGCAAAATTTCCCCCAATACTTGTTCCAAGAGTTCCCTTGTCTTCTGGATTGGGTTCAAAATTACAAGGCTACGGAGTTGAACATTAGCAGTCGCAAACCCAAAAATTAGGTCGACTGTTCAACGACGTTTATAAAATAAAAAACTTAATGTATTTGCTCTGTTATTAGTAAGCAACAAAATGAGGTAAACCATTTTTACGGGAAAAAGTAGGTCATTTTTGTCAGATTCGTTTTTCATAAATGAATCAAATAAAGAAATATGCAAAGTTTTACATTCATTTAATCATTTTTGTAGA